GCTCATCTAAATATTTTAAAAAATTTATCTGTATCGCGCATAATGCTAAAGCATTTGACGCTCAATTTATTTTAAAGTACATCGTTGAAAAGTCGGGAATAACGGAAGAACCTCGAGTGATTTTGGACAAAAATTATCGTTATGACGGTTGGACGTACAAAATTTATCGATAGCTCAAATTATATACCTATGCGATAATCGGAGTTACCCAAAGCTTTCGGGCAGCAGTATACTCTGGGCAAAGGTTTTTTGCCTCATTTGTTTAATACGTTGAACAATCAAAATTATATTGGTCCAATACCTGACGCACGATATTATTCGCCCGAACAAATGAAACCCGAGGAACACGAGCGTTTTATGGTTTGGCACGAGGAAATGTCGCGTTCGAATTTCGATTTTAATTTTAAACAGGAAATAATAAAATATTGTCGGAATGACGTTGATATCCTTCGACGCGCGTGCATGGCGTTCAGAAAAATCTTTTTAGAACGCGGAGACGTGTGTCCGTTCGTAGAATGCACGACTATCGCTTCCATGTGTATGAAAGTTTTTCGTAAAAACTTTTTAAGGGAAGAAGAAATAGGAATCAATCATTCCACCGGGCGGATATAGATATAAAGATAATCACTCGCACAAAGCCCTGCAGTGGTTAGTGTGGATGGAGCTCGGGCGTCCTATAATCCGTGCAGGGCGAGGCCGCGAGTATCGAATTGCCGCTACGCCCGTCGGGATATTACGAAGTCGAATCAGAGAACGAGACGTCGCGTTACGTGTTACAATTTCACGGTTGTTTTTGGCACGGTTGTCCCAGCTGTTATCAAATGAATCGCGAAAGAAAACTTACGTCCGGTGTGTCGCGCGAAGATGCAATCGACGCACGATACGAACGAACTCTCGCAATGACATGGCGTCTTCGACAACGAGGATATAGGGTGATAGAGAAATGGGTATGCGAATTTTCACAAGAAAAGCGCGAAAATCACGTGATGCGCGCTTTTCTCGAAAATCACCCGATATTGATCAACTCTCCTCTCGATCCTCGCGAGGCGTTCTTTGACGGACGCACGGAAAATATCGTAACTCGATACGAAGTTACAAGCACGGAGAAAATACGCTACGTGGACGCTATGTTCTCTGTATCCGTACGTATTAAAAACAGGTACTTTTCCGTTAGGTCAGCCAACGATTTATATCGGAGAACAGTGTTTGAAGGTGATTGGCGCAGCTCCGAATTTTAATTTCGATTGTGTCGAGGGTATCATTCGGTGCACAGTACTTCCTCCACGCGATCTTTTTCACCCTATACTCTCGTACCGCGTACAAGGCAAATTGTTGTTCGGGCTGTGCCGCAATTGCTGCGAAACGTTCTCGCAGGCCGAGTGCACTCACGATCTCCCCGCCGATGGTGAATTCGTAGGAGCGTGGATATCCTGCGAATTGCGCAAGGCTCTCGAGAAAGGTTATCTCGTAACGAACGTGAGCGAAATATGGCAGTTTAGAGTCACGCGTTCGATTCTCGTACGAGACAGGGTAGCTTGTTTGCCAAATATATCAACATTTTTTTTAAATTAAAGCAGGAAGCTAGCGGATGGCCGAGCGAATGCCTGGATGACGAGAGTAAGGAACAGTACCTTCGGGAATATTAAAAAACCGAAGATTATTTGTTTTGATATTGTTTTCAATAAAAATAATATCGCCCAAAATCTTGGTTTACGTTCGGTCGCAAAGGTCTGCCTGAATTCTTTCTGGGGTAAATTCGGCCAACGAACCAATCTGCCTAATACAGAGATCGTAAAAAAATACGATCGTTCGGCGGTGTTGCTCACGAGTTCAGAGCACGAAATAACCAATATATTACCTGTTAACGACGAGGTAATATATGTTTCGTGGCAACTACGCGAACAGACGGTCGCTCCTTCTGCGCAAACCAACCCGGTGATCGCGGCTTGGACGACGGCACAAGCGCGACTAATATTATATAAATATTTAGAGAAGTTAGGTAGTCGCGTTTTGTATTGCGATACAGACTCGTGTATCTATGTAAACAGAGGCGAACAGAGCGAGTACGAGCCGCGTACGGGAAATTTTCTGGGCGATATGACGGACGAGCTCGAGAGCTACGGCCGGGGCAGTTTTATCGAGTCGTTCGGAGGCCCGAAATTCTACGCGTACATCGTCCGTACACCGGAAGGTCGCCGACACGAGATCTGTAAAGTTAAGGGAATTACGTTAAATTATAAGAACTCGCGTATTATAAATTTTAATAGTATTAGGAAATTAATAATAGATAATGAAAGAGAAAGACGCGATGAAGAAGAAGAAGAAGAA